TCAAAAAGTTAAGGGGAGAGCATTTTCTTTTATACAGACAGAGTAAATGCTGTTGTTGATAGGTGCCATTGATAAGTTCCAACTCACAGAGACCCTATGTTCAGAACAAAACACTGCATGGTCCGGGGCCATCCATCCTCACAATTGTTGCCATGCTTGAGCCCACCGGTGCAGCCACTGTGTCAATCCATCTTGTTCAGGTTCTTCTCCTTTCCTCGACTCCCCCAAGCATGATAGCCTTCTCCAGGGACTAGTCCCTTCTGACAACATGACCAAAGGACGGGAGGTGAAGTCTGGCCATTCTGGCTTCTAAGGGCATTCCGGCTGTACTTCTTTCAAGACAGATTTACCTGTTCTTCTGGCAGTCCATGGTATTTTCTTTTTCTTTTCTTTTAATACATTTTATTGAAATACAATGTATGTACAGTGAAATACACAAAACTAAAGTGACATGGGTCAATGCATTTTTTTTTCAGTGTTCCCTCCATTTCCCTCCCACCCCTGGCAACCAACAAAGAAAGTTTCCCTCCATATATAAACCTTTCCTTGACCCTCCACAACAACAAACTAATACTATATTTGTCCTTCTGTGATTGACTTATGGCACTTAGCATAATGTCCTCCAAGTTCATCCATATTATGCGGTGTTTTGCAGATTCTAGCTTATTCTTTAGTGCTGCATAGCATTCCATTATGTGTATGTACCATAGTTTGGTCATCCATTCTTCCGCTGATGGGCACATAGATTGTTTCCATGTTTTTGCTATTATAAATAGTGCTGTGATAAACATGGGTGTGCATATATCTGTTCCTGTCCTGGTTCTCACCTCTCTAGGATATATACCTAGTAATGGGATTGCTGGGTCAAATGGTATCTCCAAGTTCAACTTTCTAAGGAATCACCATATTGCTTTCCACAGTGGTTATATCCCTTCATAGTCCCACCAGCAGTGTATGAGAGTCCCAATCTTTCCATATCTCCACCAGCATTTGTTATTTTCTGTCTCATTGAACCTTGCCATCAGTGCTGGGGTAAGATGGTATCTCATTGTTATTTTGATTTGCATCTCTGATGGCCAATGATTGTGAGCATCTCTTCATGTATTAGCTGACTACCTGAATATCCTCCTTGGTGAAGTGTCTATTCATGTCTTCTGCCCATTTTTCAATTGGATTGTTAATTCCTTTGCTGTTGAGGCATTGGAGT